ATGAAAAAAAAAAAGCCCGGCCGGTGTGGTTGAGCGTCGACCCTGCACCAAGAGGTCGCCGGTTCGATTCCCAGTCAGGGCACATGCCCAGGTTGTGGGCCCGATCCCCAGTGGGGGGCATGCAGGAGGTAGCCAATCAATATTCTCGCTCATTGATGTTTTTCTCTCTCTCTTTCCCTCTCCCTTCCTCTCTAAAAATTAATAAAGAAAAAAAATAAAAAATTTTAAAAAGCCCCGGCCAGTTTGGCTCAGCAGTTAGAGCGTCCGCCTGCAGTCCGGAGAGACCCAGGTTCGGTTCCCGCTAAGGGCATGTACCTCGGTTGTAGTTTGTCCCTGGCCCTGGTTGGTCGTGCGGGTGGCAGCCACTCAATGTGTCACTTTCACATCGATGTTTCCCTCTTCCTCTCTCTCCCTCCCACTCTGTCTGTACAAAAAATGAAAAAATGTCCTCGGGTGAGGATAAAAAAATAAATAAATAAATGCTGTTTAAAAAAAAAAAAAAAGAAAGAAAGAAACAAAAAACTCAGAGAGAACTTTCCACCCTCCCCCCTTCCTGCCCCTGAGAGTCACGCAGAGAACACTGCTCAGGAAGAAGAACTGAGGTTGGGCCTTAGCCCAGTCTGAAGTCGGCGTGGAGGCCGAGAGGGCTTCAGGCAGGGGCCTGTTAGCTGCATCGTTTCTGGGTCTCCCAGCAAGAGTCTGTCCGCCAAGTGTTAACACTCTTCCTCAACTACGTATAAATCGCCCACTCTCACTTCTGAAATCTAATTTCCCAGTTCCCCCTTTCTCCTGTGTCCAAAATGTCTCATTTACCCAGAGTCTTCGGAATTTTCATGGAATGATCACGCCTATGTGGACTCCCCACCCGCGTGTTTGAAACCTCGATTTTCTCCTGTCAATCTGTCTCTGTTAATTTGGTAATTAGCTCAGCCTAGAAGAATTTAGAAGGTGGGAGGAAAAGTATGAATATTTTTTTAGCCCCCACAATAGTGTCAAACGGATACTAGATTTATCAGGGTGAATACTTCATAAGGTATGTAAATGTCTAATCTCTATGCTGTACACCTGAAACAAATACAGTCTTGTATGTCAATGGTAATTGAAATTTTAAAAAATTATTATAAAACAAAGACTTTCAGCTGTGGAAGTTGTTTTTTAACAACTCCCATTAAGTGGATGAGAAGAATGTCTGTCTCGTCCATGCTTGCCAATGTCGCAATCGGGTTCTTTTGGTTTTTGCCTAATTTGATAAGGGAATCACCATGTTTTTTAAACATGCTGTATCAGGATGAGGAAGTAAAAATGTGTAAAGATATGCAAATCTTCTCCCACATAAAAGTCACCACCAACATTTGCTTTAGTAAATTAAAGTAACCATGTGTTGTTTTTGTGTTGTTGTTGGTTTTTTTGTTTGGTTAATCCTCACCCGAGGATATTTTCCCATTGATTTTTAGATAGAGTGGAAGGGAGAGAGGGGGAGAGAGAGAAACATCGGTGTGAGAGAGACACATCGACTGGTTGCCTCCCACAGGACCACAAACAGAATCAAACCTGCAACCCAGGTACCTGCCTTTGACCGGGAATCAAACCAGAGACCCTTCAGTCTGCAGGCCAACACCCTAACTGCTGAGCCAAATCAGCCAGGGCTGTGTCAGGCTTTTAAAAGCAAAAAGTAGCAATGATCTGGTGAGAGGATGTTATCCCATACGCCTTGCAGGGATATTTCTTTTTCATAATCCCAGGGTAATTCAAATGCCAGTGTCCACAGTGAAAACTGAGTCATCTCAAGGGGTCAGATGGCCCAGATATTACAAAGACTGCTTCCCCAGCGGGGGTGGGGAGTGCTCTGATAGGAAAGTCCACCCAGGAACGTTCCTCCTTCAATCAGCCCCTAAATACAGCCTCGCTCTGGGTCCAGCATGGAGTAGATGCATCCAGTAGATGGCAGTGTCTCACAGTACAAGGGCTGGTGAGGCTGCTGACCTAGGAGAACGGAGAAACTGGCTCCAGGACCCTCCCCTGGAGAAGCACCTTACCCTCCCTGGGGAAAAAGACAAGAGACTTTCTGTAAGGGCCTTATCAGCCCTGACCAGGGTAGCCAGGGGACTTGGAGATCCTGGACCAACCAAGTAAGAAGGGCCTTTATCCATCATCTTATCCAGTGCTACCCAAGGTGTGTCCAGAGCATCACCTGGGAATGTGTTAAAATGCAGATTCTCGGGCCATGCCCCAGAATACGTCAGCAGAAACTTAGGGGCAGGGCACAGCAGTTTGTGTTTTGACAAGCTCTGCAGTTGTTCTGATACACTTGGAAGTTATAGAAGCAGCTAGTATCTCCAACTTCCTCATTTTAGGAATGGGAGACTGAAGCCCTGCAGAGGAGGTGATGTCACACAGCCGAGCACCGGGAGAAACCTCACCCGAACCCAGACTCCCAGTGTTCTTTGCGCCTTTGCCTTCAAGTGGCTTCTTTTTTGTCTCCATTCATCCATTCACTCACTCATGCATTCAGCCTGTCCTCACACACTGGAGACTGCAAAGAAGGGCAGACTCGGGGGCAGCCTCTCTCTCCTTCACAGTGAGGCTTGCTCAAAGCCAGGGTCCTGGATTCAGTGCCATGGAAGCACCTGCAGGTTCTTTGCCAGCTCACCCCTGGTATCCCCAATCCCAGCCCAGCCAGAAGTCTGGTGTGGGCTGCAGGTGGCCCCAGTTCCCAGCTACTCCCTGTCTACTTTTCCTTTCTCTGGCACATCGGGGTCGGGCTCTCTGTTTCATTCCTTACTGTCAATTACTTGCTCTTGGGAAAGGCCCAAGAGCTGAAAGAGGGCACTGTGCCCTCTCCTCATGGGACTAATTATCAAGTTAAAGTTCCCCCAGAGTGGGGTTTGCTCTGAAGGCACCTGGGCAAGTCTAGAGCCCTTTGTCAACCTGGGCACTATTAATATTTAACCTTCACTGTAGGACATTTTGCAACATTGCTGGCCTCTACCCACTGGATGTCAAAAGACTCCCCTCCAAGTTATGACATCTTCAGACATTGCCAAATGTTCACTCTGGGTAGGGTTGCCAGAAAAAATATAAAATGCCCAGTTAAACTTCAAGTTTATGTAAACAACAAATAATTGTTTAGGTCTGCCTGAAATATTGCCATCCTGTATTTTTACTTGCTGTATCTGACAACTCTATCATGGGGGCAAAAATCTCCCTCCCTTCTTGAGAACCACTGGCCCAGACCCATCTTTCTGGGGCTGGATGTGGGGTAGTAAGTGAAAGATCTGATGAGATAATCAAAGACCATTAGCCTAGGAAGGCAGGAACTTTATCATACTCATCTTCTATCCCAGAAAAAAAGTAGATTCTCCTTAATTATTCTGTCTGAGAACAGGTGTGAAAATACTTTGACCTGTATCAGGTACAATATCTGAGTATTTACCCAGGACTGGGCTCAGGGGCACCCTGTCTGCCCTCAGGGAGCTCATGGTGCAGCAAACATAAACTGAAAATGGTGTTTGGTTTGATCCACATAGCAATTTTTTTAATGTTTTGTTTTTGTTTGTTTATTTGTTTGTTTGTTTTGCCCAGCCGGTGTGGTTCAGTGGATTGAGTGTCATCCCATGGACTGAGAGGTTGAAGTTCAATTCCCGGTCAAGGCACATGTCTGGGTTGTGGGCTTGATCCCCAGTAGGGGGCGTGCAGGAGGCAGCCAATTGATGTTTCTCTCTCTCCCTTCCTCTCTCTCTAAACAATCAATAAAAAAGCATATTAAAAAATGTTTTCTTTTCACATTTTTCTTTTTTAAATATGTTTTTATTGATTGTTTAGAGAGAGAGGAAGGGGGAGAGATAGAAACATCAATGTGAGAGAGAAACATTGATTGGCTGCCTCCTGCACGCCCCCTACTGGGGATAGAGCCCGAAATCCAGGCATGTGCCCTGACCAGGAATCGAACTGGGACCACTCAGTCCATGGGACGATGCTCAATCCACTGAGCCACACCAGCCAGGCCAAATTTCTTTATTGATCTCAGAGAGAAAGAAACATCAATGTGTTGTTTCACTTATTTATAAATTCACTGGTTGTTCCTTGAAGTGGCCTGATCAGGGATTGAATCCAAAACTTTGGCATACTGAAATAACACTGACCAACTGAGCTACCAGGCCAGGGCCATAGCATTTTTTATTTTATTTTATTTTATTATTTTATTTATTTATTTATTTTATCCTCACCTGAGGACATTTTTCCATTTTTTTGTTCAGATAGAGTGGGAGGGAGAGAGAGAGAGAGAGACATCGACATGAAAGGGACACATCGAGTGGCTGCCATCTGCACGACCCAACCAGGGCCGGGGACAAACCGCAACCAAGGTACATGCCCTTAGCGGGAACCCAGTCTCTCGGGACTGCAGGCCAATGCTCTAACCGCTGAGCCAAACTGGCCAGGGCTCATTGCATTTTTTTAAAAGATTTGACTTTGTGGTCAACATTCTAAAATTGGAAGCCATTACATAAAAGTCAGAATTCTTAGTATCTCTTGGGAAATGTGGCCCATCTTCCAAGTGCTTGGAACAGCTGACGGCTGGGCCTACACTCCTAGTGGCAAGGCTTGGCTGAAGCTGAGAGATGCCGGCCCCCTTTGGCTGGGCCGTGTGTTCCCCCATCCCCCGCAGTCCCCACGGCTCTCCATTGCCCCATACCAGCATCCTTCACCCACTGATGTTATCAGCCTGGCACCCATAGGGTTTTAGATTTCAAAGCTGGTCTGGTGAGGAAGAGGCATTGGAATGGAATGTCCTTTCAGGTGATCTATGTGAGGCTAGCACATTATCCCCATTTTACAAATAAAGAAACTAAGGTGTAGGCAGTTTAAGTGCATTGCTCAAAGTTAGAGACTGGATTAGAACCCCAGGCCCTGGACTCTGGGGCCTCTGCTCAAGCCCCGCCCTCAGAGTTCCTCATAAGAAACAGCTCAGCTGCAGGGGCAAGAACCTTGTGGCAGTGGGGACCCGGAGGGGAAGTGGTGACAGGGACGGAAGGCCAGACCTCCCCAGGCTCACTCATCTGTGATGTGAGAAAGAGCGAAAGAGAGAGAAAGCTGGGTTGGTGGGCAGCAGCTGGCAGGAGCTCTGATCGGGACCCGGGGCCAGGTCTTAGACACCAAACGGCCAGACTCCTCCACTCTCAGCAGGGTCGGCGCTCAGCCACAAAAACTGTGAGTAGCTTTTTTGTTGTTTTGTTTTGGGGCTTCTTCCTCATTCCAGAAAACCTGTGCTGTTACTTTATCCCTTCCTTCCTGGGATGTAAGAGGCTGGGTGGGCCTGCCTGGGTTGGGGGACTGATGTCATATGAGGACTCTTGGGATTTTTAAGGACCAGTCACAAGAAGTCTTAGGGCTCGTGTGGTCCTCACCCTTGGCCATGACAGGGATCCTGTCCGCCAAGGTCAGGACAGAAGGTGGTAATCACCAGCACAAAGATGGCCTTGCTGTGTGCCAGGCTGCTCTAGGGCCTTTCGTTATTCAATTGATTGAATCCTCGCAACTGCACACACAAGGGCTGGTATAATTCCCCACTTTACAGAAGGGGGCCAAGCAACTTGCCTGAAGTCACATGGGCTTAAATGAGGGCGCTGGGCTTGAGCGTAGGCACCCTGGCTCCAGGGCCCGCCCTTTAACCACCAGGCACCCACTCCTGCCTTCCAAGGTACGGCTTACCTAGCAGACGGCGGGCCAGGAAAGCACCCCGAAAGACGAGGGCTGGAAGATGACTTAGAGGTCATTGGGTGAATCCAAGTGCCCCCGTTTCACAGATGGAGAGCCCGGGGCACAGAAAGACCTGCACGCCTGGCTAGGGCAGCTCAGAAGTGCCGTAAAGTCTAGTACACGCTAGACCCAGGAGACAGGGCTTTGCTTCTTGCAGGTTCCACTCAGCGGAACAGAAGTGTTTATGAGTGTGCCCTGGGGCCAGTGTCCCGTGAGAACCTTGGCACTGTCTCTGTAACTCTATGGCCTCAGGTGAACCACCCCACTGTCCTCCCACTCAGCTTCCTCTTCTGAGAATGTCTGCTCAAGACCATCACTCGTAGATTTGTGGTGAGGGTTGACTCAGTGATGCTGGTGCCGGGATGGGGACCTGTGCTGGGCTCAGAATGACTGCCGTGGAGACTTTGATCGTCACCCCTCCGTCCTGGCTGCGGATGAGAAGTGACGATACATGGGGAGATGGTTGTCTTCCCTCACATGTGTGGCATGTCGACACCTTGAGCCACAAAGGCCAGGACTGAGGCAGGGGAGGAACTGGGGAGGCCCTGGGAAGTGGGACCCCAAACATTCTGGCCCCAGCTCTATAATTCACTTTGTGGCTCCCTGGAGGTGGGCCCCTAACTTGCCCTGGGCCCCGGCGTCAATTTCTACCAATGAAGCATGACTTTCACCCTTTGGCTGGTTAAGGACGATTAGGTGGTTAAGGCAGACAAACTGGCAGCCCGGCTCAGTGGAGCAGAACCTTCCAGCTCCAGCAGCCTCTTCTCTTCCCTCCTCAGCCTGTTCATCTTATCGCCTGCTCTCAGATGTGCATAAATGTGCTTTTATGCATTCTTTGTTTTTATCCTCACCCAAAGACATTTTTGCAATTATCTTCAGATAGAGTGGGAGGGAGAGAGTGGGGAAGAGAGAGAGAGAAATATTGACGTGAGAGAGACACATTGACTGGCTGCCACCCACACGACCCCAACCGGGGCCGGGGACAAACTGCAACCAAGGTACATGCCCTTTGCGGGAACCGAACCTGAGACTCTCTGGTCTGCAGGCCGACGCTCCAACCGCTGAGCTAAACTGGCCAGGGCTGTGCATTCTTATTACAGCACATTCAGTAGAAGTCTGAGCCCTTTTCCTACGGGGCTGGTTGGTAATGAAATCTCAGTGGGTACAGAGCTTCCCTCTCCCCGACCTGCACCTCTCAGCATCGAACATTGACTCTGAGGGTCACAAACGAGCATAGCTTGAGGGAGGCCCCTGGTCTTCATGCCACCCTGGCTCCTCCTAGCTTGGCTGCCCACTGTCCAAAGGGACTTGGTCCCCTGAAATCCAACCCTGTATACTTCCCTGGAATGCCTGGAGTCTGGATTCTTTGTCAAGACTCAAATCCACTGTGCCTTAGGTTCAACTTCCAAGGTGTGCCCCCTGGCAACTTCCCCAGAGGGCTGCCATCTCCCCAAGGCACCCCCAGGGAACAGAGCCCAGGTCCTCAACAATCAAGGGACCATGACCTCTGGCCCCTTCCAGTCTGGGCCATCTCTCCTCTCCCTGGCCTTGGATCAGATACAGGTTCTTTTCTCCCCACCCACCTGGGACACCAGCTTAACCTTCTGCTGAGCTCAGGTTTTCGCAAAGGACAGGAAGAAGGCTGTCTTTGAATGGCTTCTGCTTTCTATGCCCACCCCAGCAGAAGTCCCTTAGCCAAGGGTGCTCTTTGAAGGGAGACAGCCCTACCTTTCAAAGAAGGAAAACCAAGATTCACAGGCAATGGGGCCCAGCCGGTGTGGCTCAGTGGTTGAGCATAGACCCATGCACCAAGAGGTCGCCAGTTTGATTCCCAGCCAAGGCACATGCCCAGGTTGTGGGCCCAGTCCCCAGTGGGGGACATGCAGGAGGCGGCCAGTCGATGTTCTCTCTCATTGATGTTTCTCTCTCTCTCTCTCTCTGCCTCTCCCTCTTTCTCTAAAATCGATAAAGAAAACAAACAAACAAACAAAAAACAAAACACAAAGACAATGGGGACTTGCTCAAGGTCACATGCCCAAGGAATTGTGAAGCTAGTTGAGTCCAGCTCTGTGGGCTCCCAAATTCGTGCTAGCTGTCACCTAATCTCGTGGAAGACCTAAGTCCCCTCACTAATTAGGTAGGTAGCCTTGGGTGAGCCACATCACCTTTCTAACACTCAGTTTCTCCAACTCTAAAAGTGAAGCTTTAGCAGCATTACCAACCTGCCTCAAAGGGATGCTTCTTGATCAGGTCACCGCCTATTCACTGCACGCCAGGCCCTTCCGCAGTGCCTCCTTCAGTCCTCACAACAGCCTGCGAGGGAGATGCTATCACTGCCCCCACTTGAGAGGTGAGAAACTGAAGCTCTCACAGGTTTCAGACCTTCGAAAGGTCACACAGTTGGTGTCAGGTATCTCGCTGAGGAAGAAAGAGAAACGGAGCCGAAAAGCGGACAAGAAAGTTTTACTGGAGCATCCCGGCGAGGTTCGCTGGTCCACGTGGCGGGGGCCAGGGAAGTCGTGCTGCTACTTTCGCCCGGGGAAGATTTATAGGGACGTTAGGGACTGGGGTGGGGTGACTAGGTGTGGCGTCAGGAGACTGGCTACCTGCTGGGGAGATTCAGGTGTGGCCTATGTTATTGGCTGGGAAGGGTGGTGGGACGTGACCAGGAGTGTGGCTGCAGCCGCATGGGGTAAGGCAGAGCATCCTGGGTTAGGTGTCCATTTCCCCTCTGGCCATCATTTCCCAGGTCATGCGACTCCCCGGAGCCCGCCGACCTTACAGTTGGTACCCCGCAAAGCCAAGGCTCAAACCCAGGTGCACCGAGGACAGAACCACGCTCTAGCGTAGGAATGGAAGAGGGGCATAGGTGCGGATGTGCCTAGGAATGAACAGGGGAATGAACAGGGGCGCAGGTGCGGATGTGCCTAGGGATGAACAGGGGAATGAACAGGGGCGTAGGTGCGGATGTGCCTAGGGATGAACAGGGGAATGAACAGGGGCGCAGGGGCGGAGTGTGCCTAGGGATGAACAGGGGAATGAACAGGGGCGTAGGTGCGGATGTGCCTAGGGATGAACAGAGGAATGAACAGGGGCGCAGGGGCGGAGTGTGCCTAGGGATGAACAGGGGAATGAACAGGGGCGCAGGTGCGGAGTGTGCCTAGGGATGAACAGGGGAATGAACAGGGGCGCAGGTGCGGAGTGTGCCTAGGGATGAACAGGGGAATGAACAGGGGCGTAGGTGCGGATGTGCCTAGGAATGAACAGGGGAATGAACAGGGGCGCAGGTGCGGAGTGTGCCTAGGAATGAACAGGGGAATGAACAGGGGCGCAGGTGCGCAGTGTGCCTAGGGATGAACAGGGGAATGAACAGGGGCGCAGGGGCGGAGTGTGCCTAGGGATGAACAGGGGAAATTTGGAACAGGGGCTAGCGTGCGGATGTGCCTAGGAATGAACAGGGGAATGAACAGGGGCGCATGTGCGGAGTGTGCCTAGGGATGAACAGGGGAATAGAACAGGGGCGCAAGTGGGCGGAAGTGTGCCCTAGGGATGAACAGGGGAATGAACAGGGGCGCAGGGGCGGAGTGTGCCTAGGGATGAACAGGGGAATGAACAGGGGCGCAGGGGCGGAGTGTGCCTAGGGATGAACAGGGGAATGAACAGGGGCGCAGGGGCGGAGTGTGCCTAGGGATGAACAGGGGAATGAACAGGGGCGCAGGGGCGGAGTGTGTCTAGGAATGAACAGGTACGCCAGGTGCGGAGTGTGCCTGGGATAACAGGACGAGGGATGTCAGGGGAATGCACAGGAGCGATGGGCGGAGTGTGCCTAGGACTGAAAAAGGGTGAATGACCAGGGGGCGAGGGGCGGAGTGTGCCTAGGGATGAACAGGGGAATGAACAGGGGCGCAGGGGCGGAGTGTGCCTAGGGATGAACAGGGGAATGAACAGGGGCGTAGGTGCGGATGTGCCTAGGGATGAACAGGGGAATGAACAGGGGCGCAAGGGCGTATTGTGTCTAGGGATGAACAGGGGAATGACAGGTGCTCACAGGGGCGGGAGTGTCTAGAATGAACAGGGGAATATGAACCGGGCGCATGTGCGGATGTTGCCTAGGGCTGAACAGGGGGAATGAACAGGGGCGTAGGTGCGGAGTGTGCCTAGGGATGAACAGGGATGCACCGGGGCGCAGGGGCCGATTGTGTAGGGATGAACAGGGGAATGAACAGGGGCGCAGGTGCGGAGTGTGTCCTAGGAATGAACAGGGGAATGCAGGCTGGGGCAGGTGCGGATGTGCCTAGGATGAACAGGGGAATGAACAGGGGCGCAGGGGCGGAGTGTGCCTATGGATGAACAGGGGAATGAACAGGGGCGCAGTGCGGAGTGGTGCCTAGGAATGAACAGGGGAATGAACAGGGCGGTAGGTGGAGTGTGCCTAGGAATGAACAGGGGAA